TTAAACGCGTAGAAAAGCACTGTAAGACTCCCTGACGATTTTCTACAACATTTCTATTTAATTAGGGAGAACAGGTGAAGTTATAACTGAATTTACGCAATTGTCAAAAATAATCTTAGTTCTAGTGTCGGTCCTGGTTGGGAAAAAATAATACAAAAAAAACCTGGGAAAAATAGTCTGTAGTTCCGTCCCGGTCCCGGTAAAATAACGTTTTTGGTCACGGTTCCGGTGTCGGAAAAATAGTTTGTAGTTCCATCCCGGTCCTAATCCCGGTAAAATAATGTTTTTTATCTCGGTTCCGGTCCCGCCCACGTCTACACCGAAATCATATTAGACATTTTTATAATAAAGTCTGATAAAACGTAAATTTTAGAAATTTAACTGTTGTATTCTTTGTAGGCATATTTCTAACAAATATTTGATAGCCAGTCCACGATCAGACCTTGATGTTGAATGGGCGTATTGTTTTGATGTTCATTTAAATGCTATTCTACCACTTGTTGCCATTTTACACATTGTTCAATTGCCATTTTTAAATTGTATATTTATTCTTTTTCTGATTTTAATAAGTTCAGACAGAAATGAAAGTTCTCTTGTTACTTTTTAGCATTTGCTACAAATTCGAGTTTTTTCTACTGCTTAATGGGAAATACATTATGGGCAATTGCTGCTGGCTATTATATTTATATTCTTTTTCTTGGCTTTAGTGGTATGTATTAGTTCGTGATGAAAAAACTCGAATGATTTATGCAAGAGTAGAGAATCTAATTATTCTCTTTTTTATTGTTTTTTAGCATTACCATTTCTTCGAAACACTCATGTATTATTAGTTCCGCTAACCGGTTTACTTTTTCTCTATATTCTTTCTGTTATTGCACAATGGAATATGAGTGGAATGTTAGTACGTTTTTATGAGTATCGTGTTGGACATAAACGTTGAAAAGACAAATCAAAATGTTTTTGTATATTTTAAATCTTTCTATGTGTATTTGTGTCAGTTATACAAAAATAGAATTTTTTTCTCATCAGTTATTTTTTTCTTTTTGTTATTTATTTGATAATATAAAGGACAAGTATTTCTAGATAAAATGATTCTTCATTTTGCTTTTCAAGTAGAGTAACCGAATGCAGGAGTTATTAAAGTAAAATGTTTTTATAATAACTTTATAGTTGTGCAACAAAACAGCCGAATGTTAGAATTGAGTTGCAAAAAGCTAATGAAGTTATGAAGTTACGTGTGGTTTCTTTTTGTAAAAATCGAAACAAACTTAGAAGGTCGGAAAAAGCTGCAATCCGTTCAGCCTGACTTTTGGAGCACAACGTGTGTGATACGGTTCGAACTAGACATTGATTTTTCAACGGTGCATGTCACGACACTGCGTAGAGCGATTTACTGCAATTTTGCCAATGTGAAAATACTCTTTTTGTTTTTACATACTAATTTAATGTCAATTTTAAGTTATATATTAACCTAGGTGAGTACTTTAGTCTCGATTCAGTTGTAGTTAAGAACCCTGTTCGACAGGTCATATTTGAATGTGACTCATTTGTTATCATGATGTTCTGCATACTTGATGAGTCATCATTGTTTTTTTTGTGAGACAAACATCGACGTGAAACTCAATGATTCTAACTTATAGAATACCCGAAGACATCTTTTGTATTGTTTAAGCCATATTACCCTCACCCTCAGCTCCGAATCCATTTTGAGTCCAATAATTTTTTCAAACCTTTTTGGCTGTCGTTATTTATATTTCTTTTCTTTTATGCCGTACACTACATCGATCTTATTATAACAAAAAATTACATAAGTTGCATATCCTCTTGCATGTCCCATACTGATATTGAAAAATTGAAAACTTCCCTGTTGATTTAACCTTCGAATTAGTTAGAGAAGTTACACAAAACTTATTTATTAAAGAGCTTTCGATGTGTAATGCATATGATCTTCAAGTTAAATAAGTGTAAAATCTAAAACTATTACGAAGATGAATAGATGGAACTTTTTGACTAAAGTCATTTCCAATTCATTCTTTAAACTAGTTGTTGTATAAGTTCTCCTTATTCATCTATGCATGACCCCAAAAAGTCAATTAATAAGTTCTTTATATGTTATCAGTGTACATATGAAACGTCACTAGTCGAAAATGCGCTCAAATTAGTAAAATGTTAACCACATGAATTGAGACTTGAATAGCTTAGTCGGTCTTTCGCACGATATGTAGACGCTTACATGATATCGTAAACACGAGAATAAAAACAGTTGAAAGTTTATAAAAGTAGATGGATACCCCGTTAAGACTTACAACTATGAGCTTTTAAAATATTTAGCAAATCTGTTATCGTTTAACAATCTACATCATTTTCTTATATAAAAGACTCATTTGAGTTTGTCAGATCTAAGCGTATACTTATGTAGTTTTAACGTTGAGCGTTTATACATTTATTCACCAACAACAGAACCAAATGATATTTTACTGTATATGCTATACAAACGTCAAAAAACGATAGATCAACTGCTAGTCCATTTAGAGAACAATTGAAAAAATTATTATAATTATGTCTATAAGGTATCGTTTCAATGCATACTAAGGGAGCGTTTCAAAATATATTCCGGTCGGTTCTTAGTCCTTTATTACGTTCCTGAGGTCAATGTAGCTATAATTAAACATAATTTAGAATTGTCTAATACGTACGTAGCTGCCCTGTTTTATAATTGCATAAACATATAAAGTGTAAAAGTATTTTTGTCGAAGAAGTTAAAACAGGGGGGTGGTAGTTTCAAAAACCGGAGTAAGTTCAAAAAGATTTTCTGGCAAGTTGGATAAAGTAAAAGAAATAGTACAAAATTTGACATTTTTTCATTTCGGACTTACAGTTGTATAATCTGTTACCTCCACACTTTGCAGACACACAAAGGAAACACCATTTTTTCATTGTTCCTTCATATCCTTCACAAAACAAGATGCTAAATTCTATGACCGAATTTATTTCTGGACCATCGTTCTATTAGTTCTTGAGTATTCATAGCATCTACAAATACTGTTCCTATTGATCATGGTAATAACGCTTGTAATCTTTCATCACCATAAAGAACACTCAAGTCCAAGGCTGCCAACTAATGCTTCATTAGGGACTTGGACCTGTCCAACTTGAGAAGGAGGTGTTCCACCGTGTTCTAGTTTTTCCAGATTTTGTCACATTTTTGTAGCAAAGATAGCCGGAAATTGGAGAAAACACCAAATATCTGCGCAAAAACCGTAAAAATTTCAAACAGAAGTTTGCCAAATCGAAGTAAACTCAATCGATCCTTTCACAAAATTGAAGTAAGTTTCCCGTACTTTTGGCTCAAATCAGAGCAAATTTGCAAGGAACTTTCCGAAAGCACGGGGGTGTACCCACCCCTCACACAAAGGGTCGCTCCGCCACTGGGCCTCCCTTTCTATCAGAGCTGGGCAATCAAGCCAAAAATATCTCAAGTCCAAGTCAAGTCATTTCTAGTATAGGGAGAGTTTCGTTTAAATTAGACTTTTTCTATCATGAAAGAGTCTCTGAGGCTATGAAAACTCTCTCATCCAAAAGGTGCTAGCAAATTTAATGTTCTGCCAAGTTTTAATCAGACTTGACTTGACTTGGCGGAAAAAATTTCAAGGGATGACTTGACTTGAAAACATTTTCTGACCTCTACTTTACTTGACTTGTGACTTGCCTAGCTCCGCCTTCTATAAGACCTAAACCAGGGGTGTAACCGGTATCAAAAATGCGATACCGGTATCGGTCATCGGTATACGAACTTCGTACCGGTACCGGACCGGCCGGTATACAGGTGACCGGTCTACCGGTCGGTACCGGCTTGTCTTGATTATGTTTTGCCTAAATACAAGTACTTTTTCCTTGTCACATATGTGAAGAAGTCTGTTAACACTCACCGAAAAAAACCGATTACTCTTCTTTTGATCAATTACTTATGTTATCAAAGAGATAGATTAATCTCTTCACTTTGATGATGTATAGCTGATTTTTCCCACGTAGTTTTTTAACAAAAACAGCAACCAATTCAATTTTTTAAATTAAGACGCTTATATAACCGAACTAAGTTTACGTAATTGGAATGAAATTCCAGTGGAAGAAATGACGCCATCTCGATTGAGAACGATTTGAAACTGTGCACTCTTGAAGGAGAACAATATTTTATAATCTATCTCAAAGCAGAACATATTCAACTGCTGCACTCTCGAATGAGAACAATTTATAAACTTATTCTTAAAGGAGAACATTTTCAAATAGTATACTCTCGAAGCAGAACAATCGTTTGCAAATAATCTCAAATGAGAACATTTTTCAACCGTACACTTGAAGGAGAACATTTTTGTCATATATATTCTCAAAGGAGAACAGTTGTAAATTGGGAGATAACAGATTAAAGCATACATTAGAAAATTTGTGCTTGCTCCGCGCTGAACGAAATTGGATAAAAATAGGACGCCAAATGCAAAATTTGTCGGTGAATCCGATAGCGGGTTCCTTATAATTACATCTTCACTTCTTTGGCGTCGACATAATCATCGCGGTTTTTGCCTAAATTTTTATTTTTCTCATTGGCGCCTTTTTTCAACCAAAAAGAATTGGCGCCCAATTTGGTTCAGCGAGGAGCAAGCACCAAATTTTCTAATGAGCTAATTAAGAAGCTTCTTAAAGCTCTGAACTAGAGAAAGAATAATGCTGACGAGACTGTTTAGACATAGCAGCTGAAAAGACTGTGTAGACTACCATAAGGCAGTTCAAAAGAATGAAGAATAGCAAGACGATCAATATGGTGAACGTTCAATCTTATAAAAGCGATGAACTTTGCAAAGCATTACCGGGAAACAAAAAATGTCATTATCATATGCGACTGAAGATATTAGTAAACATGGTCATAAGTCGTTATTGTATAAAACGTATCGTCATCGCCTTCGTACGCGTAAAATTGATAGCAGTGAAACGTGGCGTTGTACTGAGTAAGTTGTCTGCTTAGTATTGCTTCTATTCTGTTGTTGTAACTAAATATTAACTGTATTGATTTAGCCGTAATTGTTGTGCATCGATAGTAGTCAACGCAACGACGTTAGCAGTTTTAGTGGAACGTGGAGCCATGCACATGAAGAAGTCAAGGTTGAGCATCCACTAGTACGGGATTTAAAGCGAAAAGTTGGAGATGATATTTCACCAGTACAACAACAGTACTATATATCTATATATATAAAGAAGAAAGTTTGTTTGTATGTTTGTTTGTTCTCTATGCATTCAGTCCCTGTAAGAGCTAAAGCAGCCAAAATTTGCATGGCACACCCTTGGGTCCAGGGGAAGGTCAAGAG